AATAGAGAATAAAAGTAACAAAAACGTTCTTAAAGTTGATGTGTGACATATTTTGTAGCATTGTTGGTGGGTTTGCAAAGGGGGTCCCCGGCCAGAAGCTAATGATTTTTGGGGGGCCTTGGCATGGAAAAGTTTGGGAACCCCTGCCCTAGGCGAATGCCTGTGTCGCGTATGCCAGTAATACAAATACTACAAATCCACATAACAAACAATCAAAGTTTCCCCTAACGCGCCACTACATTTGTGTATAGAGGGAAAACACTGTTTATTGGTCAAAGCAGATTTAATATATTCATTGCTATCGGGACGTTAAGAGCATTCCATGGAATATAACAAAAAGTGTTTTCTGAAATAAATTACATTGTCAGCTGTCTTCCTCTCCCGTGTTGTTAATCGATACGTAAAGGCTAGAGCACCGTTGACAACTTCTCTCTACATATCAAACATACCGGTAAACCAGCATCGTTTGCTGTGAAAGCATATAACTCTGTCCACACAGAATTAAATCCTGTGTTCCTCCGGTACTTTTCTTTGATTTATCCATAGTTCGCTCATCGAGCCGGGGGTCAGGTTATTCACCCGCAGGAAAAGGCGCTGGCGCGGTACCGTAGCAGGATGTGACGCACATTTTAGTTGACCTAATTAAAACCGTTTTGTTTTTTATTTGTGTCACAGTATCACCTCAAAATACAAGATACGAAACATTTTCAACCATGCAACAAAATATAAATAGTCCTACAAATACTTTTATTTTATTTCCTTCTTATTTTTGTCTAAGCTCAAGGGAGCCAGAGCAGAGGGCTTAAAGGGCCGCGGGTTGCCGACCCCTGGTCTAATCAGTTCAATTAAAGTCATTCATTCACTTTTAATGGATGTTAGAAACAGATGTACCCAAACGTGTCGCACATCTGAAACTGCATGGCTGTAGTGAGTGCAAACCTCTAAAATAGTAGTCTCTTTTATACATATTTTATTTTCAAATGATCATGGTTAAGAAGTGCTCAACAAGCAACAGACTTGTCTCTACTAATGTAACGTTGTCTCTGCATACAATCACTGCATTGTGTTATCTGAAATGGTCAAATTAGAACTTGGGTAATTACCTCACTCTGGAGAGTTTCTTTTGTTAGTAATTAAGTTTTGACCAAACAGACCAACAGTTACATCACTGCTGAGTCGTGTGTGTGTCCCATTGTTTGACAGCAGAGAGAGTGGGGGGGGGGACACAGCAGTGAAGTCATGGCTGGCAGGAAGCCTCTGGAGGGGACAGAGGAGCAAATCAGCAGCAGTGGTCCAGAGCTCTGGCGCCCCCTACAGGCTGTTGTAATCATAAACACAACAGTTGAATGTAATCACATTGATAGGTTTAATTTGAGTAGATACATTTATGTACATTATCAATATCAAAAAGGTGGCATTATCAAACAAACATTGATACAAAAACGTTCATTTAAACATTTATAAAATCCAGGCCTGAGTTAAAACAATCCAACATACAAACCGTTCACATGAAAAATGTACTTCTACCCATATTGGACCTGTCACAAAGGACTAAAGAGCCAAGGACATCAGAAGAAGAATTGAATGTGACATGGAATTAAAAAAGCACATAACTAAACCCAACACTGGTCCCAAATAAATTACAAAAATATTGCATTTAATATTTGGAGTGCATGTTTGTTGTCCTCTAACATTGACCGAGGGTATATTGAGTCTTAAAATTCTCAACACCCGTTATCCTGAACTGTAGGGAAGGATACAAGCATTAAAAGGCACTTAATAGGCAGCTATTAGCATCATTCATTTGAATTGTGTTAGTCCCCTATTGATCTATCTACAACAAAATCACCATGGTTTTATACAGCGCTTTGAAAGGTCACTAGGGGAATGTGTGTGTGTGAATGCTGACTTATGTAAACGCCCTTTGAGGGGTTGTAAAGGCTGCAAAATGGTTAGATTAATGCAGTGTATTTACCATTTGCAAGATTTTTCAAAACAAAGAAAAAGGGGAACACAAAAGTTGTTCTGAAAAACAATCCCTTCACGGCCTCTCAGGGCCTCCGTCTATAAAAATGTCTCTAATGCTCTGTCACATTATTGTAAATTCCTTTTATCCAAGTGACGATCCTTTAGGAATGATTACTCAATTTCTTCCAGGTTCTGATGCTCTGAACATAACCTGATTCAGAGCAGAGTCGGTTTCCATGGTGATATACCCCAGTCAAGTGAGCCAGCTTCATGATACCAGAACTATCTGTGGTCCTTCTCTGCCCCTCACACAGAGGTGGTGTCGGCCCTCAGCGGCGCTCTCTGTGCGTTGGCTCTGGCCTGCTGCTTCTCCGCCTCTCTGCGCTTCCTCTCCTCCAGGTAGCGCCTCACCCCCCGGATGGTCTGGAAGGTGAGCACGGTGCCGACGCCGTACAGAATGGCCGTGATGAGCCCGAACAGAGCCACGGCTGCGTCGCCCCCGCCCACATCGCAGTTCATCCAGGTGTAGCCCCTCCCTCCGTAAATCCTGGCGCGCTGCTGACACACATCAGTGGCGTTCACCCTGATGATGAAGTGCAGGTAGAGCCCCACGGCCACCACGTAGGCCACCGCTCCCACCGCCTGGAACACCAGTGCTCCGTACAGAAGCTTCCGGGACATGTGGTGGGGGGGTTTGTTCCCGGCCACCACGAACAGCAGCGAGAGGACCCCGAGGGTGAGGCAGAAGGGGATCCCCCCGTAGAGGGCCGGCGCCCTCATCTGGCTGTACTGCATGTCCAGCTCCCGCGCCTTCTGCAGCTCCGTGCCCTGCAGGTTGAAGTTGGAGTTTATGTCGAAGCCCCCCAGCCCGCCCGCCGAGGACATGCCCGAGGACACCATGTGGGCTGCAACCAGGCAGATCAGAACCAGGCTGTTGGTGAGGACGGCACAGATCAGCATGATGCCTGGAGGGGGGTCAACACGTGAGACAGGTGAGGAAGGGGGTCACAGCATCAGAACAAGGCGTTTGTAGGGATTCCCCTTCATAGAGATAGCCTTTTATATAGAAAATAAACAGAGTTTCTTTACTGAAACGCTGAGAAGGCTATGCAATAAAGAGCAATAATTAATGTGAGTGCTGTTCAACAGCATTCCAATATTGTTCTTCAAATCTTTATTCTTCAACTTCTTATTATTTCAACCAAACTTTGTCCGCTAACTACTTCAGCCTACTTTCAGCTACAGAAGCCATTCAACTATTACATTATTCAGCTATTTCAGGACATTGAGGCTATACAGTTTGTTGTTTATACCTTTTTTTACTTTTCTTTGAAGTATTAAGCTTCATCACTATTGTTCCTACTCTTCCAGTGACATTTCACTCTCAATTTGAGCTGTAATAATTTTGATTCAAATAATTTCACTTTCTGCATTTCTCCGCTAAGTTCAGCAACACACTTACTTGGTTTCTGTAGCTAAAAGCAGCTACAGAGACCATTCAACTAATAACATATTCAGCTTTTTCTTCATTTTCAGCTACATTCAGCAACACATATACAGAGCTTGCCTTACAGCATTCGCACGCATTTTCAGCAGGAAATGCATTTTCGAGTTATATGCTTGCCAAACAGTCATGTTGCAGTTTACATTATAAGATAAGATCAAATGTACTTATCTTATACTATTATCATATTAGTGTTTGTTTGTGATACAGAAACATTTTTTTGTGAGGATACATTGTGTGATATCACACGTGTGCGTATATATGTAGGGTTCCAAATAATAATAATAATAATATTTAAGAACAACTGCTTTTTAACTTAAATAAATTTACAGGGTTCTTACACCTTTTCCAAAGTCAAATTCAAGCACTTTTCAAGCATTTTCAAGGTGCATTTTCCAGCTTTTCAAGCATCTTTCAGCTGTTGTAAATTACATATTTATATACACATACTCAAATGATTATTTCCCTACCTCACATTAAATCAGATGTTCTTTATGCTATAAACAACCAAATGTGTGTTTCGTGATAGCCTTCTACACGAGGATGACAAATTAAAGAAAAGAAAACTAAGTTTAATATTTCAAAATGAGTGACCCATCTGTACGTACACTGGGCCTCCCATATAACCTGTCTGAGCCAATATAAAACAATCAGCCACTTTTCAATACATTATTGATTACAGTGATGCAAACACAGGTATGGTGAAAAAAGAGAGAACTATTCGAAGCAGAAAAAAAACAGCGTAATATACCATCTGACAATGACAGATTTTTCTTTTTGGATATTTTACAAATCACTCCCCTTTCAAACTCTATTCTTGTTATTTTTAACAACTTTTTTTGTTACTGTCATATAGTATTTTATACCTGTTAATAATTGAGTCTCTAATGTCTCATTAATAATTATAATGATCATATCAAGGTGTGCCTTAACCTCACTGAGCTGAGGTTATTTGAGCCTCTCAGGAGAGAGCTCTCTTCCACCTGGTTGAAGAAAAGCTCTTTAAATTCGTTAGCATAGCTAGCTAACCAGATGCTAATAACAACAGATCGCCACTGTGCTTACAACTAAAGACACAGCCTCGCAAACACTGCGGCATGTGTACGGCTCCTTATGGGTCAGTGTTTCCCCTAGGATGGAGTCATAGCAGCGGTGCTAAGGCACGCGGGCCCAGCAAAATGTGAGCGCGGCGCGCGTGGACATTTTAAGTGTGTGCGCGTGCGA